CTGTTTCCCAATACAATATGGCAATGGCATCGGTTTAGATATCCTGCTTTTTTTCTTTTGTTACGATCTGCCACCGGCCGATAGTACCATACCCCAATCCTAGGAAAAGTGCCTTAAAGAGGGAGGATTTGGCCGAAAAAGAAAAGTATTAAGCACTATTACGCGTAAGTAGGACCAAAGAATAGTGAAAACACAGTGTATATCACTGATTTGGTTCTTTTACGCGCAGCCTGTTAATACGGTCACCAGCAACATCCATTGGAATGACACTCATTGCCCAATCATGGACTGGTCTTTGCTTCATGTAATTACATATAGCAAGTTTACCGGCTCCAGGAAATTGCTGAAACAACCTACCTGTATATAAAGGTATTCCTTCATAGGCCGAATGAGTTTCACTATTCGTTGTTCGTTGTTGAACATAGTTCAACGAAATGAGTTGAACTATGTTCAACGAAATGAGTTGAACTATGTTCAACGAAATGAGTTTCACATAGTGAAACGAATCTCTGTCAACTCATTTGAAACGAAATGAGTTGAACTATTCGTTGTTCGTTGTTGAACATAGTTCAACGAAATGAGTTCAACGAAATGAGTTTCACATAGTGAAACGAATCTCTGTTCTCTGTCAACGAATTGTTACACTCATTTAGTTCAACGAACAACGAATTTCGTTGAACATAGTTCAACTCATTTGAAACGAATCTCTGTTCTATAGCTACTTCGTACCTATTTCATAGCTACTTCGTACCTATTTCATAGCTACTTCGTACCTATTTCGTTACACTCATTTGAAACTCATTCACTCAAACCTACGTATCTTTTCGTTCGTTCCCCGCTGACGGAAATAGCTTAATGGTAAAGCATAGCCTTGCCAAGGCTGAGGTTGAGGGTTCAAGTCCCTCCTTCCGCTCCTCTCCCGTAGGTCGAGTGACTCCCTTTGGTCGTACCTCTCCCGTAGGTCGAGTGACTTCGTACCTCTCCCATAGGTCGAGTGACTTCGTACCTCTCCCATAGGTCGAGTGACTCCCTTTGGTCGTACCTCTTCGAGCGACTCCCGTTGGTCGTACCTCTTCGAATGAGTTGAACATAGTTCAACGAATGGTCGTACCTCTCCTTTTAGTCGAATGAGTTGAACATAGTTCAACGAATTCTCTAGCGACTCCCGTTGGTCGAATGAGTTGAACTATGTTCAACGATTCGTTGACAGAGATTCGTTGAACATAGTTCAACTCATTTCGTTGTTTCACATAGTGTTGAACATAGTTCAACGAATTCTCTAGCGACTCAATGAGTTTCACAATTCGTTTCACTATTCGTTGTTCGTTGTTGAACATAGTTCAACGAAATGAGTTTCACATAGTGAAACGAATCTCTGTCAACTCATTTGAAACGAATTCTCTAGGTACGAAGTCCCTCGACCTATGGGAGAGGATAGGATATTAGGATTGGGCTAATCGATCAATAGCAAATGACGCAAGGCAGTCAACTCCTCTTTATTCTATTTATTCTATTGTGTACTTAGGTGCTTCTTACTTGGGAATTCCTTACCGCTCCGTGGGCTCGAAGGCAAAAGGAAAGCTTTCTTCCACGATCCAAAGAGCTAGCACTTTGATGGTGATTACCCTGGGGTTCCCCTGTTAGGACGTTGGGATGCATTAACTATGCACCAGGAGACAGATCGGGTAAAAACAGTTCATTCCTATGACCCATGGGTTGGGTCAGTTGGAGTTCTCTTACGAAGAGGAGGGAAGGTGGCCAAGGCGTGGAAGCAGACACACCGGATAGCCCAGCCCCTGGGAACTACACTGGAGGGAATATCCTACCTGGCACGATCAACGTAGGAATTTATGACACCATCAGTATATGGCCCATACGGAATCCGTGCAAAAGAATAAGCTCGGTACGAAAAAAGAAAGCTAGTATGAATGGAGGATCGGGAAAAAGGAGCAAGGTTCGGAAACTCCGGCGGTATATCAATCAAGCAATTGGGCAGAAATCAACCAGCGGCTAGGGATTTATGGCCGATGAGATGGGTAAACTCCCTGCAAGCTCATCTGAATAATAAGTCGGAAACCAGAAACAATGCTCTTCAGGTTNTATCCTACCTGGCACGATCAACGTAGGAATTTATGACACCGTCAGTATATGGCCCATACGGAATCCGTGCAAAAGAATAAGCTCGGTACGAAAAAAGAAAGCTAGTATGAATGGAGGATCGGGAAAAAGGAGCAAGGTTCGGAAACTCCGGCGGTATATCAATCAAGCAATTGGGCAGAAATCAACCAGCGGCTAGGGATTTATGGCCGATGAGATGGGTAAACTCCCTGCAAGCTCATCTGAATAATAAGTCGGAAACCAGAAACAATGCTCTTCAGGTTACTTTTGACGACGCACAAACTATGACAGAAGAATGTGAAAGGCTAGCGATTGAGTGCCAGAGGCTGAATCTATTTGAATAGCTTTACCAAGATCCTTAGCTGATAAAGAGAATCTTCAAATATATTGTTAAGCATTTCGAATTTGTTATATGGTTTTAGATTGAAAGTACTCCCTCCGTCCTATAATGATCTTCCCAGAGCACTATTCCAACTTCACGGAAATTTATATTTATTTGTGTTTTTTCATGGCATATATGATAAAATAAAATATTCTTGTCACCACTTGTTTTGTTGAACTTTTGGTGTAGTTTTTAAATATGTATGTTTTATTTTTTATTTCTATACCAATATTTAAATAAAATAGATTGAAAAAATTTGGGATTTTTCTTCGTTTTGCAAACTGGGAAGATCATTATAGGACAGAGGGAGTAGTAGTTACTATTCTGGCTTCTCGATAACTTTTGCTTGGTTACTAATATTGGTTGAATATTTGATAAAATAATATATTTTTGACGTATCTTGTTTTGTAAAATTTTTTAATCTATTTTTGAACGATTTATTTTTACTTTTTATTTCTCTACCAAATTGTAAAAAAAATAATTTTAGAAGAGATGTTATTTTGTACATCGTTCGAAATGTTGCTTACATTTTGAAATTGAGGGAGCATTAAATTTTATACGACAATCATCTTTTGACTCGAAAAATGATCCAAAAATGACACTGACATTTTAGAGCTTTATTGGTAAAATTGATGGTTTCAACTGCTAACTGCCTCCCGGTGCTCGAGTGATCTCTTTTGAGAAGTGTAATTTATGTACAAAAGATTTAAACTTTAGATGTATGAGACCTATAAAATTGGCGTATCTTTCATTGGTGAATGGTGAGCAAGAGAGCAGAGCCAATTTAAGTGCATTTGTTGTGTTGTGAACTTGTGATGTTCGTTTTTAATTACTCCTTATGACATTTGTTTCAATGTAATATTTTTCTCATTCAGAAAAAAAATCAGGATTTGATTCATGAAATTTAAGAAATATTTTTTAAAATTAGTACGCTTATAAAATTAATTTAGGGGAAAGAGAAATGTCACAGAATATACGCTAATGAATAATTCCTTTTTATTAAAAAAAAATATACTTAGTAAAAGATCCGTTTGGACATGAAAGGAGCATATCTTTTGAACTATTCCAATATATTTTTATTTCAGAAAAAGAAATGAAATACTTATCGTGTCAAAAAAAGGTTTTACCTAGTAATTACTATTTACATGTCAGACACTTACCATTTTCTTTACTCAATAAACATTTATATTGATTAGCGTTAATGATTTAATGAAAAAATATAATTTTTGTCATATCTTGTTTTGTAAAGTTTGTAATATACTTTTTAAAAATTAAACTTAATATTTTTAAATTTTACACCATTTTTATATAAACTTAATTGAAAATATTTCAATAAAATATCATAACTCGAAACAAAAATCTTTCAGCAAACCTCTTATGTGTGATATTTTCTACTAATGATCTACATCCACCAATCTCTAATCAAAATCTTGTTGATAATACAGTGGGGAAAAATAGAATAAAAAATAATCTAAACTTATAAAACGTTCGGATTTTACAACTAAAAAATAAAAGAAAGAAAAATGGAGTTCTTCGGATGCTGGAACCGAATGGTGGAACACGAACGGACAACAAGGTGCAATGGTGACTTCAGACGGAGGGTTGTGCGTCGCCGGAGCAGTTTCTCGAAGTAAAGGTAAGGAAAGCGGAGTCGCCAAAGCTCTTTCCTTAAGGTAGTGTTGCCCGCCTCTCGCGCCAGCAAACGTGGACAAACGAGAAAGATGGAAGTTACTGCCAGAGTATTTTATCGAAAATGGGAAGAAAGAGTTGGATACAGAGAATATTGGATTTCGAATTTTCTTCGTGGTTCTCTACTGCAAACAGACCACTCCTTAAATAGGAGATGATATGGACGAACCTGGACAGTCTTAGCGGAACTTCCGAAGAGTCATCGGCAAACGGCAAGCCTTCGGATGGATGCATGCATGCCATAATTCTGGTCACTTCGTTATTAACAAAGCGTACACGCATGTTTGTTTCGGTCTCGTAAAAATTTAGCCCCGCCACATACGCGGGCGCGACGCGCCTCGCCCCACCCGGCGCGCGCGAGGAGTCCTCTTCTTGTTCCTTTCATAAACTCAATTAAAAGTCTAAGCTTAAATGTGAGAATATGAAAGGTTCCAAATCCGGTGTGGGACAAAGGTATTTAACTTCTCATTCAACTTTGAGAATTAATTTCTACCTTTGTATTCAACTTTAAGAATTAATTTCTCATTCACCCGAGCACCGTTTATGGCGTGTCATATGTCAAGACGTTCATCTTATTTACGAGATTAAACGTCCATAATTATTTCGGAAAATAATTTGGTGGACCCTACCGAATTTATATTCAAAAATGTCCAATTTACTTAAAATTTCCAACAAAACTAATTTATATCTTCTGAGTCAACGTCGGGTCTGAAAGAATCTTGGGGGATGGGCTCCTCCGTTTCTACTAGTGATCTACAACCAACACTATTCTTGTGCAACATCCCAACACATAAGAATATACTCGTAGTGGACAAATAAATGAAAGTTTTTTTCTTTGGTAAAATACCAAATTGTACACATTTGCGTGAGTTGATAATTTTTGCCCATTTTTGTGTTTTTTTCTCACTCCGGTATAATCACATACTTCCACTGCAACTACTGCTCAAACCTCATCCTCGGTGCAGTACAGCTTTTGTCTAGCGAAAAACACACTACACTCCACTCTTCTTGCTTCATAAACCTCTGCAATTTTTTTACATTTCAGAGTTACATAATAGAGAGATTTTGATTTTGATGTCGAAACCCTTTGAGGAGCATGATTACATAGGCTTATCCCGGGCCTCTTCTTCAATGGAGAGCTCTGAAAAGGCCTGTGCTTCATCACTTGGAAGAGAAATGAGTGGCAAAGATTTGAACTTTAAGGCCACTGAGCTTAGATTGGGGTTGCCTGGTTCGGAGTCCCCAGATAGGGGTTTTGAGGGTTTCAGGGTTTTGGCTTCTGGGGCCAAAAGGGGGTTCTCGCACACCATTAATGGCGGTTCTGGGACGAGGGCTTTCGCTGGATCTGAGAATAGCAGACACCTTACTGATGTGGCTTCAGCTGTTGTGAAAGAAGAGAAGAAGTCTCAGGTTTCCCCTGCTGCAAAGTAATTTTCTGGTTCTTCTTTTATAATTTTATTATTATTATTATTAGTGTTCCTGTTGAAGATTTTGTTCCTGTAGATTTTGTTTGCTTTCCTGTTTCTTTGGTTTGATTATTTGCAAAAGTTAAATTTTTGAATATCCTTTTGACAAGATCCTTATATGGAGTATTGTGGCTGTCAATATATCAGCTATGTTTTCATTCTGGGAAATTCATAATGCTGTTGAAGAAGTTCATGGTTTGCATTATTTTTCATTTTTGTGAATATTGTGTGCCCTATGTTTGAGCAGCGGTCTCTTGGCAACAGCCTCTCCCAGTCTCCCCAGACCTTACTTTTAGTCGGATTTCATTCGGTTTGCTGTTGTTGTTTGTGTCTATGCTTTGAATTTAGTGATGTATTGATCCATAAATATTTTTCTTTTCCTTAACAATTATTATCCTTTGTTACATTTTAATCTGGTTTATAATTTCAGTCAATTTATCGTAATGTGAGTAATTTATCACAATGGGGTTGGTGGCATGAGATTTACTGTTACAATAAAATGTAATCCTAACGTCCCAATTTTTAGGACGTCCCAAAAAAAAAACTCCTTACTTAAATGAACACGTGACTCACAAGATTTTTCTCTCGCCTAAACAAATGACAGGGCTCAGGTGGTTGGGTGGCCCCCGATTCGGTCTTTTCGAAAGAATTCGATGACTGCTATTCCTCCAAAGAAGGAAGAAGAAAAGTCCCATGGAAAGCCGGGATCAAGCTGTCTCTATGTCAAAGTCAGCATGGATGGTGCACCTTACTTGAGGAAAATTGACCTCAAGAACTATGGCAGCTATAAGGATCTCTCTTTGGCTCTGAAAAACATGTTCAGCTGCTTTACATTCGGTAACTCACCTCTCAAAGCTTCCCACACATCTTACTGCCACAAATAAGCGAAGATCCGTTAAATGTGACAAAAAATGATAACTTGGTGCAGAATGTGTTCTTACCTTTGAGGACAAGGATGGCGATTGGATGCTCGTCGGTGATCTCCCATGGGAGTAAGTTTCTTGTTGGAGGGTCCGGTTTCCGGTCTGATATTATGTAAACTTTGTTACTATGATTATCTGATGCCGGTCTGATCTGATCTGGTATTATTGAAGTAAGTTGAAAAGAATAGGTCAGTTTTGTAGCATATGATTCTTTTGTGTGTGTGTGTGTGTGTGATTGCAGACTGTTTGTCAATGCTTGCAAGCGACTAAGGATCGTGAGAAGTTCTGATACAACAACTGGTCTAGGTAAGTTCTGGAATTTATAACAAGAATCCAACAAGAAGGGTATGGGGAGGATGTGTTTACGCACACCTTACCTCTTGATTTAGTCGACTAAAATTAAAATGTACCATATATGTATAAAAAAGAAGTGCACAAATTGTCAATGATAGGGATACTCATAATTTGCTTCTTCTGAGCTATATATTCTTATTCTTGTTATTTTTATTGCAGCAGCTCCGCGGGTGATGGAGAGAAGTGCATAAGGCACTAAACACGCACTTCTCTCGCAGCAAGAGGATCCATTTTCTCCTCTCGTCTGTCTTATGACATGTTACGTGTTATCGTTATTCTATCAACTTAGCAGCGAGAGGATCCATTATATGTTCCATCTTGTAGGGGTAGTAAACTGAATGCTGGTTTGGTATCCACAGTTATTTATTATTCCAATGTGTTATTCTTGCTTTGATATGTATAAGCTTGCACTTCTATATCATTGCATTGTTTTTATTACACATTGTTATATGAGGCTACTTCTTTTGACACTGGATGCAGTCTGTAACGGTCCTTGATATCACTGGAACCTATCACGAATTGTTCTTAGAATCAATTGCTACCATTATAGTGCGGTATGGTACCATGCTGGTTCGGTTTTTTTGTCCACCCATACATGATAGAACGAAATGCGGACATGAGGGGCAATTGTCCACTCTTTAACAAAATACTCCGGTAGTATCAACAACTCCACAGTATGCTTGTCTCCAACTCCTGGACACAAAACCTTTATGGGCTTAAAAAAAACTCCGTAGTAGTAATAAAAAATGGGATTGAAGAGGATATCATTTCACTTAAATGTCAACTCAAACTTTGTCAAAAAAAAATGTCAAAACTCAAACTAATATTATTAGATTTGTTTTATATACTCATTCCGTCTTAAAATTAACTTCTCATTTAATTTTTCACGGTCTCCAATGCAGTACTTTGACCATTAATATCTCTATTTTCATATGAATATATATTATCAAAATATTATATTTCAAAACTATGTTTCAAAACGAATCTATTGATACTAAATTTATATGAAAATTCAATATATTTTTTCTGTAACATACAGTCAAAGTTTGCAAAAGTCAAAATGAGAAATTAATTTTAGGACGGATGGAGTAGTATTTTCAAAATATTGTTTTATGCAATCAATATACTTTACATAATTTACTCCTTCCGTCCAAAAATAAATTTCTCGTTGCGTGTTACGATGTTTGACTGAAGTTATTTTCTAATCATTTTATATGAAAAATGGTGTAAAACTTAAAAATACAAACTACACAATTAAAAATTATATCAAAAGATCTACAAAACAAAAGATGACATGACTATATTATTTTATCAAATGAGTAACAAAAACAAATCAACAAAATAAATAAAATTTGACCTTGTGAATAGTAAACGAAAAATTTATTTATGGACAGAGAGTATTTAATTATATGTCAAAAATAATTGATTGCAAAAAGACACAACTTAACAAAAAATCAAAGATGAAAGGAATATTTAATAAAATAATATAGTCATGGCATAAAAGGAGAATGTGTTTTTTACCCATCCATATTTATAATGCATGTTTCTATGTAATAAAAACCATTATGTACTTAAATTTTGTTTCTCTCGCCTATTCATAAATTTCAACAAAAAAATTTCATTTTTAAATTTTTGTATCGGATCAAAGCACAACAAAACCAGTAAAATCCTACAAATAATAAACAGAGATAAATTGGTGCAAATCAAAAATAAAAACATGCAAGATAAATTGGGTGAGAGAGTAGTTCATTTTCCATTTTCAAAGGGATGGCTAGTACAACAACAACCTTCAACCAAGCCTAATCTCAAAAATATATGTATATATATTCATAGAGAAGGAAATTTCTTCCTCGGCGCATTTTTTCCTACTCGCCAAGCGCGAACCGAACGAACCTCCTCACTTTTATGTTCTCCCCAAGAGCAACAACAGTTTGCTTCACAAAATCTCTAACCAAAACACTCTCATCCTTAATGAATGGCTGCTCCAGGAGACTAAGCTCCCCAGCCCTATTCTCCTCCTCCACTATTCCCTCTGGAACATCTTCAGTACTTACATACTGTACCTTGGGGCAAGCCACAACCTGCAATGCCAGATCACCAACCAGTTCCTTGAACCTCTCGCTCCTCCCTACAAAGTCAGTCTCACAGTTGACTTCAATCAGGACACCTACGCGGGAGTCCTGGATGTGGGACCCTATCCTCCCCTCAGCTGCAAGCCGGCTGGACTTCTTGTCGGCACTCCACAGGCCTTTCTTCCTGAGATGGTCTTGTGCCCTTTCTAGGTCTCCCCCAGTTTCAGACAGAGCTTTCTTGCAGTCCATCATGCCGGCTCCAGTTTCTTCGCGGAGCTGTTTTACCAAAGCAGCAGAGACTGCTTTCTTGGGAGCCCTGTGTAGGTAAATAAAGCATTAACATTTTTTTTCATCAGTTCGCAGATGATGGCATGGCACAAACAAAGCAACTTATATTCCTACACGTCTGAGGAACAAACGTATGGGTTTTAGTACTCAGAATAAGGTAGAAACTTACTCAACAGGTTCATCAGCTCCAGCTGACACTGGCTGCTCCTTAGCTGGTGGTAGCACACTCTTACCTGCAGTCTGTGCAGCAACCTCTGCCGCAAAATCATAATTTTTTTTCTCTAAACCTTCCCCGAGATTGTACCTCACAAATCTCTTCATTTTAATGTTCTCTCCCAATGTCGCAATGGTGTGCTTGACCCAATCCTTCACAACAACCTTGTCGTTCTTGATATATGGCTGTTCCAGCAGTGCATATTCCGCAAGCCTCTTCTTAATCCTCCCATCAACAATCTTGGATCTAATCTGCTCCGGTTTTGACAACAAATCTTCCTTCTGCATCTCAATATCTCTTTCCTTGTTGACGACCTCTTCTGGAACGTCCTCCGTGGAAAGATACTGCACTTGAGGGCATGCAGCAACTTGCATGGCTAAGTCATCAACCAATTCCCTAAATATGTCTCCTCTGGACACAAACTCAGTCTCGCAATTCACCTCTACAAGCACACCTATCCTACCATCATGAACGTAAGAGCCAATTCTTCCTTCAGCCGTGGCCCTACTGGCATTTTTATCTGCAGTAAGGAGCCCTTTATTTCTAAGATGCTCCAATCCTTTAACAATGTCACCGTCTGTTGCAGAGAGAGCTTGCTTGCAGTCCATAATTCCAGCTCCTGTCTCTTCAAGTAACTGCTTCACAGGTGCTGCAGAAATATCAAGATACGATTTTTTATTTCCAGTGTGTTTATTAATCCATCCGCACCAAAAAGAATTTAGTTTCATCAAGATACTTTTTTTTTTAACTTTTGGTAAGGGACAACTCTTTCAGACAATGAATGTTAAATAAATTTTCAAGCTTTTTTTTGTTCAATCAAATTTAATACTGCATATACTTAACTTATTAGAAACACCTCTTTGAAAAATACTCGTTAAATTCGATCAGAAATTAGCTCATTTAAAGATTAGACTTTTTTTGGGACAAGATTATGTTTCTAAATTTAGTTACTGAAAGAATTTAGGATGAGTATGGACAACTGGATTGGGTAATAAGACACTTGGGCTGAACCACATTAAAAGATTGAATCCAATCGATTAGTTGGTTTAACTCAAGAGCTTATATACCGGATTATTTTACTCTTGGATTTCCGATGTGGGATGCACTCTAACAGTTACTTTTTTGGGCAGAGGGAGCAATTATTAACAATGATCATTACTCAATATAGTCACACATTTTGTTCTGCTTCATCCAATTTTTTTTAAACTGGCCATGCTTCTTGTCCTTTCATCTGACAGTCACACGATGTCAATATAAAGAAAAACAAATAATATCCGATTTTTAACTAGTGATGCTTCTTCCCTCCCATTTTATTGTTTTCAATTGATTTTCAGCTGATATAAAGACAAACAAATGATATCCGATCAACATTCCTATTTTAACCCCTAAACATAATATCCTTTTTTTAAACTTACTTTTTAGAAATCACAGAATAGTGTGAAAAAGAATCGACATTTTAAATCAATTAATGGTAAGAATGGTTAAACAAAAAGCTAGTGTTAAAAACTTAAAAGTAGATATAGGCTCAGTACTTTACAGAAGCAGGGCACATAGTAGGGAAACTAAACACGGGTATCATGCAATCTCTAGGGTTCCTAAACTAAAATGAAAATAAAACAATAATGCTGATGCAAATAGTTCAAAGATTTCTATCTTGATTATTGGCAAGCATCATTAGCTTAATTCAGGAATACTCATAACAAAGGACACCGGCTGAAATGAAAATCCCACCGGTGGGAAGGAACCTTCCCAGTTACCCAAGGTGGGAAAGAAGTTGTTGACTCACCACAGAAGGAAGCTATGGACACTGGCCGAAATGAAAATCCCACTGGTGGGACAGCTACTAATCAAGACCCTTACTGCTGGGAATGAGATTGCAAGGAAGAGAAAAGGGAAATATACTCTTGTTGAAGTGCACCATGGTGCTGGTGGAAGGAAAGATGGGGAAACCTAAATTCATGGGTGGGAGCTCTGGCTCACGTCCAAAATGAAAATCCTCGGATGGAATGTTCTAGTCTTGTGTGAAGCCTCGAAACAATCTTTTTTGAGTAGCTTTTTGGTCGCTAATGGCGTCTATCTATCCTGTGTACTGGAGACAAAGCTTTCTGGAGCCATGTTAGAGAGCAGTGTGCTTGGCACGTCCCACACCGGCAAATCAATAAAAAACACTACCTTCATATAAAGAAAGGTTAAGCACTACCCATTGGCTTAAGAGTTTGGTTAGAAAGTGGATCCGACTTTATATTAGAAAAATGGTCAAATCTCACCCGACACTCTGCCTAGTTCACTCAGGCCCACCAAAATTCCACCACCAAGCTTAATAGACTTTACATAACTACCTCCCAGGTTGGCGTGCTGTCACCAATTTTGATTTTATTGCTGGTGGCAGGATTGCAATTCTGTGGGATCCTACAAATGTTTTTTGTAATGTTGTAGATATTACTAAACAGTATGTGCATTGTGATATCACTTGTTGTATTACCATTTACCCAAGTCCTTTTCTATTTCCTTTGTGTATGGAACATGTAGTGTTGGTGTGAGAAAGATTTTGTGGTCTAGATTGGCTAACATTGCAGATTCTATGAGCAAACTGTGGGCAATTATGGGAGATCTCAACTGTGTTTCTGCCTCAAATGAAAGAGTGAACTGCAAAAACAGTATGGCCTATGTTGGAGACAATGCTTTAGATGATGCCCTTCTACTGCGCTCTTCTTTACTTGGCAAAGGAGGGAGAAATGGGCTAAGCTAGACAAGTTCCTTCTGAATCGTGACTGGGCTGACTCTGGGCTTGACTGCAGAGCTGATCTTATGGACTTGACGATTGAATCTGACCACTGCCCAATGGTGCTCTCCCTTTTTGGCACCTCCCCCAGTGGCTCCAAGCCCTTTAAATTTTTCAACATGTGGACCCACCGTGATGATTTTGGTGAGATTGTTAGAAGGGTCTGGGAAGGGCCTCTTAAAGCCCTCAACAGCAAAGTCTTTGGTCATATCTCCATCAAAGCAACAAAGGCCAAAGATGAGTATAAGTCCCTTATGAAACTCCTGGTTGATGATCCCAGCAATCCCTCCCTTATTGATATGAACTCCAAGAAGACAGAAGCCACCTTCCTCATTGATGCTAAGAGATCCTTCCTCCAGAAAAAGGCAATGTGTGACTTCCTTGTTGACAGTGATAAGGGCACACTCTACTTCCATACCCATGTCAAGTACAAGACTAGTAAAGCTATCCCCTTCTGGTCAGAAGTGATGGACTACCTCCAGTAGTGAAGTTTTTGGCAACCATATTCCTGCCACTCCTATCTCTCAAAAGATGATGCTCCTCTGGCCCCCTTACCCCCCCCCCTGAGGCTTCTCATGGGTTGCTGGTTGAGGTAATTAGAGAGGAAGTCAAGCAGGCTGTCTTTGATATTGGGAACAACAAGGCTCCTGGCCCGGATGGATATCCCTCTTCCTTCTTCAAAAATTAGTGGGGGTAGTAGGAAAGGAGGTTTTTGCTGCTGTGTGTGAATTCTTCACCAAAGGAAAGCTGCTTAACTTTAGCAGATCAATCACTCTGTTATTGCCCTAGTTGCAAAAACAACTCATGATCCAACAGTCAAAGATTTCAGGCCTATCTCCTGCTCTTATGTCATCTACAAAATCATTGCTAAGGTTCTTGCCCAGAGAATNACCCAGCACAGTCTGCTTTTGTGGAAGGGAGATCCCTAGTTGACAATATTTTCCTTACCCAGCAACTTGTGAAGGGCTATGCAGTGAAAAAGACTTCTCCTAGGTGTATGCTCAAGGTGGATATCACCAAGGCTTTTGACACAGTTTCCTGGCAGTTTCTGGAGTCACCACCACTTCCTTTTCTGTCTCCCTCAATAACTGTCTACATGGGTTCTTAAGAAGCGTAGTGTGGGCTTAGACAGGGGGGCCATGGCCCCTACTCTGTTTATTCTTTCTATGGAATACCTCTTTAGAATCCTTAACTGGCGTACAAGGGAGCTTGCCTTCAGCTTTCACCCAAAATGTGCCCCTCTAAAGATCACACGATTGTGATTGCTGATGATGCTATGCTTTTCTTGAGGGGAGACTATGTTGTTGTTAAAGATGATCTTGCTGAGTTCTCTAGTGCAGTAGTGCCTCTGGCCTGAAGCCCCACCAAATCCGACATCTTCTTGGCTGGACCCTTTGAAGAAGGAAGGGAAAACATCATTGAACTTGTGGACTACCCCCTGGGTATGCTTCCTGTACGTTACCTGGGAGTGCAACTTACCTCTCAAAGGGTTAAAAAAGAAGAGGCATCGATGATGGACTTTTGGTGGTCGGGGCATGGCTGGTGGGCTTGAGAGGCTTTGTGATATGGTCATTTGTCATATGGGAAGGTGCATGAACTACTTTGGGTCAAACAAACTAAAAGACCATGGATACCTTTCATTGGAAGAAATATACCCATCCTGAGTATTCCATTATTGTGTGGCTTGGTTTTCATAATAAAATTCCCACCAAGGACAACTTCCTTTTCCTGGACATGGGTCAACAGTGCAATATTGCAGGACAAAGCAGGAAACAGTGGTGCATCTCTTCTTTTAATGCTCTTTTTCGGTGTGGTTTGGGAAACTGTCCCGGATTTGCTTGCCTAGTTGGCTTGCCAAAAGAGATGACCACATTGCTGAATGTTGTGAAGTGGGTGTGCAAGGAATGTTGCGGGGCTCGCATAATAACAAGGTGACTAGGTTGTTTTTTGTTGCACAACCTACACAGTTTAGACAATGAAGAACTTACACCCCTCGTGGCACCATCCAAGCCGGATGGCCTCCCTAGCTCCTTGACTGGAACTCTCAAGTTTGGTGCAATTAGTTATCCTTACGTAATTGTTGTTTAGGGGCCCGATCTAGTCCTCCCCATGTACTTCTTCTCTGTTAATAGTATTCTCTTTTCTTTATAAAAAAATACAGCTAAAACTATTATTATGGAAAAACTATTAGGAGTTACTCAGCAACTTTCAACAAGAACTTCATAGACAGAGAAGATAAAAACCAACCTGTGGTTGACGATACCCCACTTGGTAATGTGGGAGTTTCGTTCTGCATTTCATTTACATCAACTTTATTTCCAATTAGGACTTCTCCATCTATCTGAGGATCTGTATAAAATGCTTATTAGCATGCTTTAGATATCTTTGAAAGAAATATCACAAGGAATCCATGACTGGTTGGCCACTCCGCCTAACATCAACTTTAGTTCATTACTATTCACACAACATACACAATTTACACAACAAAATTTAGGTTTCAAAACGCGTGTTTTCAAGTTATTACTTGGCCTTAATTTTTTGATAAATTTAGGAGTTCATATGTACCTGTCTACATTATAATTTTTATAATACCCAATCTGAGAAACCATGTTACTAATGCATCACAAATTTTAAGTAACTGGGAAAGCATCTATTACACAGGAATAAGACAAAGAACTGGCAACAGACCTTCAGCCACGCAATTTATGTTTTGAGAAACCACACTTTGTTCACACATCCTCAGAGTACTGTTGTTTTCCTGGAAATCAATGCCACTAGGTTCCTCTTCACCTTGGGTGGGAGAGAGTTCCCCGGAATGACATCTTTGAGTTTGGGCTTCATCATTCACATTATGATCATGCTCATTATGAACCTTTTCTGAACTTTCGGATGAAAAACTTTTGTTAGTTATTTCCTGAGATAAATCAGGTTTGGCAGTGGTTTCCAAAATATTAGATGCAAATGGCTCTTCACTACGTTGATCCATTACAGTTTTAGACAACAACTCATCCTTAGTGGCAGCAGGCTCTACACTTGGCTGATCTGTGGTGGTGCTGTTTGCTGTAGCCTCCAATGTTTCAGAAGATGCTTCAAATTCATCCTCAGTGACAGAAGGCTCTACACTTGCCTGATCTATGGTGGTCATGTTTGTTGTAGCCTCCAATGTTTCAGAAGGTGTTTCCAATTCATCAATCATAATGTTAATGCTTTGACTTGCACTACAATGTGTGTCTTTTTCCGATGTCTCAGATAATGTATCGTTCACCATACTTGCACTGGTTTGGGCTTTGTTATCATCATTGAATGACTTCTTAGCTAGTTCTTCCTCCCTCTGTTCTAAAAATTTAGATATTTCTTTATTTTTGCGGAATGCTAAAGCAAAGGGATTGGTTGCTGTGTGAATAATGCCTTGGCCTTTAGCATCCAACTCCCAGGCTGATTCTTTCTTTGTGGTCAAAGTTACTTGTCCTCTAGTGATTCGCAAAACACGGACACTAACTCCCTGACCTACTTGCAGTGAAGATTCCCCCATGATGTGCCCTAACCCTTCATCATCCATCTCTAATCGTGGCAAGAAGCCATCTTCCCCTTCAGGAAGAGATATGAAAGCACCAGACCTTGTTAATTTCTTTACTATTCCTTCAAGATCCTGCCCCTTCACAAATCTTGAAGCCTTCTTGACCTCCTCTCTTATTTGGGTGCTTGTTAGAGGGGACCTCTTTGGTGTTCGAGATTTATCGTTGTCTACAGGAGCATCTTTTGGCTGCTCTGGCTTACTGGCCTCAAAATCTTCACGCATGGTCAGCGATATCCTTCCTGCTTCCATATTCGTGTCAAGTAGTCTCACTTTTACTTCTTGTCCAACAGAAATGACACTCCCAATATCTTTAACAAACGCATCACTCAAATTTGAAATGTGAACCAGTCCATCTGTGAAAGCTCCAAAATCAACAAAAGCTCCAAAAGGCTGTATTGATTTGACCTTTCCAGTGAAAGTTGCACCTGGAATCAGATCTTCGTTCTTAACGGGAGGCATTTCACTCTTTCTGGCAAACCTTGAGCGTTTTGAAGAAGCACGGTTTGGACTGGAATTTGATTTGACAGTGGTTCTTTCGCTCTGCTTTCCAGTATCGGGTGAACTTTCTGAAGCTTCCTTAAAGGTGTTACCCACTGTGGGTGAATCTTCCTCTTCTACTATAACATCAGTCTTAGCTGATGACACTTTTCCAGTATCAGCTGAAATTTCTGAAGCTTCCATAGAGATGTTACCTACTGTGGGTGAATCTGCCTCTTCTACTATTACATCAGTCTTAGCTGATGACAATATGGGGTTTCTTGGTTTAGAATTTGCATCAAAGGCAATTCCGAGATGGGGAAACAGTCTAAGAGACGTTGAGAAAGGTGTGGCAGATAATGTTTGTCTGCCAGATTTCTGATAAATGGCACATCTTGTCAGAAGTTTATTCTTTCTAGCTGTGAAGATATTTCCTGGAATTAGTGAAGTGTGGTTAAATGAGGTTGGAATTGAAGGAGCCATGCTGAATGGATATGTGAAGCACAGTAGCAGTCAAGCACAAGTTATAAGAGTTTCTGCATCACCCCATCCCTGTAAATCAACAGAAGGGGAAATTAAAATCAAGCAAATAGAATGCTGTTGCAATAGAAAGGAAATATGCAAATAAATTGTTCTTTTTCTTCCTTCATCTTGAAGTCAACAAATAAAGCCAGTGATGTGATAAAATGCAAGTGCAGAAGATAATAAAAAATATATAGTTTCTCTGTCACTTTCAAAATGTAAAAAATATAAAAGCTCTAAAAAATCCAATTGTTCCTTTCCATTTCCCAATCAAAAAGGAAGAAAAGTAAAAAGATCACACCAAATCACAAAAACAAAAAATAATGATCATATGATATACTCCGTCTATCCCAAAAAGAGTCCTCATTTCCTTTTAGGGACGACCCAAAAAAAGTCCCTCTTTCCACAATTGGAAAACTTTTTTTTATCCCTTATTCTTTTTTCTCCTCTGCATCAATTTCAACCACACAATTTTTACATCAAAATGTTAACTATTCCTTCCGCACTCACAAGTAGGAAACTGAGTTCATTTGTGAACATGCAAGGCATATATGATGAGCGAAGAATTTGCAAGACCATATCAAATGATGGGTAAGTGGGTATGGTAACATCGAACATTTTCCTGTACTTGTACTTAACTGGCCTAAAGAAAATATAGAACTTTTTTCAGAATTTTTTTCAGTCAAGATGTTGAGATCGTGTATTGCTAAGTGCCTAGAGCAAATGTTGAAACTGATGAATTAAAATCTTGAAATCTTGTGGTGCTAATAACTGCCGGGGAGTGCTGAGTTTCATCAACTACAAGCTTGACATCTAACTAACCCAGTTTATTGCATTATACATGTAAGAATATGAATTCACGAGAAAATGAGAATAAGGGCAACCCAAATAGTTTAAACCTCTAATTTTCATAAGACACGTGCATCACATATAACAAGCCAGAGCAATAATAGAAATAACAGGTATATATAAGACCCCTGAAAATGAAACACTAAATTCCAAGGGACTTGACCTTGAAAATGTGTGTTCCATTTGTGGTGAGAGGGGAGAAACTTTAACTCATCTGTTCCTCCTATGTTTGGGAGGGCGTCGGATTTCGATGGGAGTCGGACACGACGGCTTCATTCCACTTTAGATTCAATAGTTGTGCAGTGGTCTATTCAACGAAGGACCTTAGCATGGTGGGCTGGACTGTTTGGATCATTTTGAAGGCTTGAAATCAAGCAGTATGGGAACACCAAGTGCCCATTCCTTCTCTCACGGTGCAAAGGATTAAAAATTGATCTCAGGATTGGGAGAAGAGATGCATTAGCTTGGAGGCTAGAGTGAGAGATGTGCACTTAGCTGATGAAGTGATGAACTCTTGCCTGGTAGAAAGGCTTTTGTGGATGCAACTATCTTTGCTAACTCAGGTATGGGGGGTTTTGGGTGTGTTTTATTTGAACATGATGGAGTTTTTCAGGCAGCCATTAATGGTAGGCTTAGATGTGGGACTAGTCCTTTACTCGCGTAAGCTATGGCGATCCGTGAAGTTTTATCTTGGTTGAAGGAAAACTCTGTTTCAAACTTGACTGTGCATTTTGATTGCCTTCAAGTTGTTGGTGATATTAAAAGGGATACTCCATCCTTATCATACTTTGGAGTTGTGATTAGTGATTGCAACTTGCAAGATGCTTCTACAGTCTTTGAGTTCGGTTTCGATATGCTTTATTAATGGCTCTTGTAACCAAGTGGCTCATGTTTTAGCCAGACATGTTGATTCTTGTATCGGGATGTGGGATTTTAGTCCCCCCAAACTTTGTTGTACCTTTTTTGTTTCATTAATGTAATTCTTTATTTTTAAAAAATAAAACCCCTAAATCTTTTATAGTGGCATGAGTACAAGATAAAATTATCAAAGATTAAAATCATGAAATGATCCCCAATAAAATTGAAGAATTCAATCTGGTGGCGGGTCCTAATTTTTGTTCAACAGAAAAGCTTCACAGCCCAAAACTATACAACAACCAAGCCTTGTCCCACTAGGTGGGGTTGGCTACATGGATCAAACGACACCATTGCGCTCTATCATGTATCATATCTTCATATCTGCATCGAGATCATTCACATGTAGATCACCCTAGAAAACTTTGTGCCAAGTTTTTTTTAGGTCGGCCCCTTCCTCTAGGGGAATGTCTACTTTCCACTTCACCCACCCTTCTCACTGGATGCTCTATTGGTCTTCTCTCCACATGTCCAAACCACTTAAGATGGACTTCCACCATCCTTTCAATTATAGGTGCTACTCCAACTTCCGCTTTCATATCTTTATTCCTTACCCTATCCATATATGTATGACCACTCATCCATTGAAGCAACTTCATTTCGACAACACTATTATTTTGTTCATGTTCACCCTTTGCCACCAAACACCCCATTCCATACAATATAGTTGGTCTAATCGCAAGACGATAAAATTTTCCAAACGGTTTTAAAGGTACTCTTTTGTCACCTGAAACACTCTGTCATTTTGACCAAGCTGCTTGAATCCGGTCGTTTACATCATACTTGTTTCTCCATTGTCCTCATTGATACACTCAAGATACATAAATCTCTTCACATGCGGTATAGTGTTATCTCCAACTCTCGCTTCGATGTTAGCCTTCTCCTCACGTGGCTAAACTTGCACTCCATATGTTCTATTTTAGTACGACTTATGTTGTGAAAAAAGTGTGAATGATTCTGGCAGGATATGGTGAAGAGAAGGCGAGGTGCTAGGAAATGAATTGCAATCGGTAAAAATTCAATGAAGGAGATGCAAAGTATGAACTTTAGCTAAAAATAGGACCCAATCCATCACAATGTAGCCAATGCATAACAGCAAAAAAAAAGAAAAAAAAAGGCCTATATAGTATTAGTAGAGTGAGACAGAGTGACATTAACTTGAACAAAGTAAGAACAAATATGCAAGAAGCACTCATACCAAAAATAACAACTCGGACCCAAAGCACACAAACTACAGGCTCCACAATAAGGCCCAAAATTCAGACCAACTACTCTGATCCTAGACCTCCATTGAACAGAAGTTGCAGATTGGAATACCTGGATGGTTCCTAAACTCCGGTACTCCTATGTGGACGGAGAATCCAGGTCTCCGGTGATGAAAGTCGTCTAAGACTGAGAGCCGCGGCGGGTGGCGGCGAGCGTGGGAGAGGCGGAGAGTTGAGACTTGAGAGTTGCAGGTATGGCTCTCATTACAGCTTGCAAGTGAGAGGGAAACTGAAAGGCGGGGCATCAAAACCTTATCCTGCTCTTCCTGCCCTTATCCCTTCTAGAAATGCCACATAAAAAGTACTCATTTTGAAATATATATTCCAAAATTAGTATAGAATTAAAAAAATGTTATTTTATAAAAGTACATGTAAAATGCTAGTATAAAATTAAAAATAATTCGAAAATTAGTATATAATTATTTTTTATAAAAAGTATTATAAAATAAATAATGATTTAGTTACTTTATTTTATGAATAGTCAATAAAAATTGTAAAGAAAAAAAATACCCCGTAGTTTGACCCATTAAACTATAAAGAAAAACGTATTTATGTAAATTTTTTATTTTGTTTAAGATTAATAAAAAAAATATTCCCTATTTGTAGTTGTAGTGCTTTTTTTAGAACATGGAATAGTGACATTCAAGTTAAGAAATAGAAAATTGTATTATTAAAATTAATGTGAAAAATTATAGAAAAAAGTAATAATAAATGTGCGTCAAAAAGCATTAACACTCTGCCCTTTTAAAGTTAAAGAAATAAGGAATATTTAGGATGGTAGAATGGGCTAGTGAAAAAAATAACTTATTAAATTAATAAATTAATGGGGAGTAATTAATAAAAAAACTAAATTTTAAAAAAAGTTGATAAAAAATAAAAAGGTGTGAAAGAGAAGTGGTCATACTCTAATTATTGAAGCGAATCTTTATTAATCTACATATCAACCAAATTAAAAGGGATGCACATACATGTCAACTTTTAGGTGGAGGGACATCCATGCCCATAGATTAATAAGGGCGCCATAGAAAAACTCATTTTTTTATATTATCGTTTGAAGGTTTTAAGAAATATTTTGATGCAAGAAAAAAGATTTTGTTTTGAGTCACGACTTAGCTGAAAAAGTGAGCATGTTTGTAAATGATTCTAAGTGCTTCGGGCCAATTTTAATTTACTTTTTCATTTTTCAAGGCTGGTTCTACTCGATTCTCAACATCACATTTTAGTTCTAAACCTTAGTGCTCGTGCTCTTTGCCACATCAACTATCAACTTTGACAATGGCTTGTATTCATTTAACGTTTGTGTGTGCACATATATTAAATGTTTGGGTGTCTATATTGGTCTTGGTGTGTAATTGGTGTCAAAATCTTGGGGTCCCCCTACCATTCTTCTTTTATTGTGAAATAATATATTTCACCTGTCCTAAATTAAATTGCCTATTTTGGTTTACGATGTTTGACTGAAATTGTTTTCAATATAATTTAATAAAATTGGGAGCGGAACTAGAAAATAAAATTTACATATCAAGAAACTATTAAAAAAAAATCAACAAAACAAAAGATGACATGATTACATTATTTTATCAAATGAATAACAAAAATAAGAAATTAACTAAAGTAAATGAAGTTTAATCAATGTAAGTAGTAAGCATGCAATTTGATTTGAAATAGAGGGAGTAATTTTTAAAATATTAAAATCCAAACTTAATAAGTTTTTTTAGAAAGAAAAAAATTGAGGGAGCTGAGTAAAATTTAGATAGAAATAGTTTTTTTTGGCGAGTTCATTAATTTACAAGTGTCATGAATCTCCTCTCTTCTAGACACTTTAATCCCTCTTCTACACCGTAAATGCATGAAAACCAACCATATAATGAACTAAGAAAACTTTAAGACATCAAAGAGGAGGAGAGAAAAAAAATCTATGTTCATTGGAGAAGCCGAAAGTAAGGATAATTTCTGAAGGGCTTCTCCAATGACATCAAAAATTCCATGGAAGCCTCATCATCTTTTTCTCCTTTCTACGCTCTTCGTCGTCTCGGCCATGGCCGACGACGTCGATTCCTTTCCGGATTTTTTCCGGCCAGGGTCGAGCCCCGAGGCACTCCCGGTGGCCGGGAAACCGGATTTCGAGATGGATTACGGGGCGTCGAGCTGGGAAATTGCGAGCGAGTTTGTGGGCGTCTCCGCCATGCACATGCAGTTGATGATAGACGGGAAGGTTGTTTTCTACGACACCACAAACTTAGGGCCGTCGGCGCTGCGGCAGAACCCTAAATGGTGCCGGAAGGCCCCTAATGGCCGGACTGATTGCTGGGCTCATGGGGTCGCCTATGACCCTAACACTGGCGGCGTTAGGACGCTCAAGGTTTGCTTATTTACAGTTTTCGTTTGTTGTTTTTTAATTAAAAAAAAAAAGACTCTACAATTTTATTAAATCCTATTACAAGTAACATTTTTTTCTTTCTTTGGGTGGAATGAATTGAAGATCAACTTCAACCCGTGGTGCTCATCGGGAGGTTTATCGAAAAGCGGGAAACTTATGAGCACGGGAGGGTCGGATGAAGGCGTTCGAAGCATTAGGATTCTTGAACCATGTGACACTTGTGATTTCCAAGAAATTGAGACGTCCCTTTCCACATTTCGATGGTACCTAGCTATAGTACTCAGTATCTTTTCATTATTTTTTTTAACATTTATACTCTCACTGTCTCATAAAATTCTTCTTTTTTTAAAAAAAAATGCACCTTTATTTTAAAGAAATGAGTAATTTTGGTGTTATTTTATAATTTTGACCCTATTTTATACTACCTCCGTCCCTGAGTATTTGTCCGGTTTGACTTTTTTCGGTTAACTGTTTTCAATATTTGACCTATAATTAAATAAAATATATATTGTATTTTAATTAAATAAAATAATATTTTGAAAATATTTGATATAATAAATCTAATAAAACTCTTTTTGTATCAATATCTAATATCATTTTTATTTAATTTGAGGTCAAAATTTACCAGTTTTGACCAAAAAAAGTCAAAAAAAGACAAATGCTCATGGACGGAGTGAATAATAGAGTAGGATGAAGTGTATATGATTGATGAGTCATAATTAGATTATTACTGAAAAAGTTTGATATTTAAGCCAGGAACAAATTGGTAGTATTTTAAATCTTTATTCTAGTTTCAATCATTTATATTGTCATTTCTTATTTTCATAATCAAAGGTATGCTTCTCAACAAATGCTGGAAAATGGGGATATCATGCTGGTTGGAGGGAGAGGGGCCCACAATTATGAAATTTTCCCGCCAGATCAACTGAAGTTCCCAATTCAACAGTTTGGCCTCCCATTCCTAATGGATACCACCGATGGATTCCTTGAGAACAATCTCTACCCGTTCGTCTACCTTCTTCCCGACGGCACCGTCTTCGTCTTCGCCAACGACCGCTCCGTCGTCGTAAACCCCCGCACTGGCGAGACTGTCCGGGAGCTCCCTATGCTCCCGGGCGGGTCTCGGAACTACCCCGCTTCCGGACAGTCGGCGCTTCTCCCCTTGAAGCTCGCCCCCAACACCAAGGACGGGGACTTTGTGAAGGCGGAGGTCTTGGTGTGCGGCGGGAACTCGCACGACGCGTTCCGGTACACTGAGCGGGCCCCGCGGAAGTTTCCGCCCGCGTTGAAGGAGTGCGGGAGGATCGCGGCGAATGAGGAAGGGGCGAATTGGGAAATCGAAGAAATGCCGTCGGGGAGGGTCATGGGCGATATGCTGATCCTCCCCACTGGGGATCTCCTCCTGATCAACGGGGCGAAATCCGGAACTTCTGCCTGGGACGCGGCAGAGGATCCAAATTTCGCGCCTGTCATGTACAGTCCGGAAAAGCCGAAAGGACAGAGGTTCAATGTCTTGAAGGAGTCCCAGATCGCGAGAATGTACCACTCCTCGTCCGCCGTTTTGCCGGACGGGAAAATCTTAGTGGCGGGAAGCAACACACACGCCACGTACAATTTCAAAGCCAAGTACCCGACGGAGATGCGGGTCGAGAAATTCTCGCCGCCGTATTTAGCCGCCGAGCTGGCCCAGTTCCGGCCGCAGATCGCGGAGGATCTTTCGGACAAGCAGTTGAGTTACGGGCAGAATTTCAACGTACACATCAATTTGGAGTCCGACGTGGGCGTGGAGGACATTAAGGTCACCATGTACCCGCCGCCGTTCACCACTCACGGCTTCTCTCAGGGCCAGAGATTGCTTATTTTGGGGCTCAACGAAGTTAGAAACAAGGTCATCTCCGCCGTGGCGCCGCCCTCTGGGAAGCTCGCTCCGCCTGGATACTACTTGCTCTTCGTCGTGCACCGTGGTGTGCCTAGCAAAGGAATGTGGGTGCAAATCCAATAGAAATCTATGGGTGTCAAGAAGCCTAATGTATTCTTTTGGGACTTAATTTTTATTGTTGGATAATTTTCAATAATTTGTTTATTAAACATAAAAAAATAGAAGTTCAATTTCGATAAAAAAAAAACCAGTAAAAAATCGTTACAAAAGGTTAAATAAAATATGATGATTGATGAACATGATTAATTGAATGATCCTCACCATAGGTATTTACGAAAAATACTATAATACAAAGCCATTTACACAAGAATTTGACTCAGAATCTGGTTTTGGCAAAGGGTTGTACCTAAAAATCGTTACATACAACTAACCACTTATCAAAACGAAAAGCTCCGGTCTTTTGTCTCCGGCAATCATACTCATTCAACTTTGAGCGGAGGCGGCAGAGTTGCTGTTTGGAAAAGACGATACTAACCCCGTACCACCACCAACAGCTTCATGGGTGGTTGTAGGCCTTTCTTCACCGGCATGCCTTACAAACTCTTCGGGAGACATGTGGGATCCGTGACAGGCACACACAATCTTGATTTGGGTAGGGCTATACCTATAAGTGACACCCGATATGGTTTTACCGTTTGGACCCAAACCGGTTGTTGAAACCCAAGGTAGATTCGGGTAAGAGCCACAACCCCCGAATTTGACATCCGCGGCAAGACCGGGTCTGATTGCTGGGAAGTCACGAGGAAGGCCATTTGCAGCGGATGTTGCTTTGGGCAGTTCAGATGATGGGTCTTTGGCCCCACTGAAGCTTATGTTGTTGTTGTTGTTCCCTCTCGCGTTTTCCGATGAACCTTCTTCTGCAGTGTGATGTTTTCCATTGCCAGATGAGTTGTGCGCAACCACTGGTGTTGAAGTTGCTACATCGACACAAATAATCATATCAAATTGAATCAACCGAATGAATCAATAACAATTTGGCTATTCAAGCAACAAAAAAAACACTTGAAAAGATTGAAGTTATCCAACACAAAGATGTTACCAAAAAGAACGCATTACCAGATCCAACAAAATCAAGAACTGAAAAATTGCAACTTTTCTGGTTTGAACAGTCCACTTTGGCAATCTCATTTTCAACTGTTGATAAACTCTAGCTGTTATCCATTAGTCACCCCAATCATAGTATACTTCTAGAATTGTACGGAGTAGTTTGTAAGCCGAACATCACAAACAAATGGACGAATCTAGAAGCCCCAATGAATCCAGTGAGGATCAAACCAGTGGATGATACTAAGTTGAACGTGCACCTAGAGAACAGGGTAGAAGAAGGGGTAGAGTCTGCATACTGCATACAGACACTCTCCCACTCTCCCAACACCCTACACTTTGTGGGGTTTTATAGGATTTGTTGTTGTTTGATCAAACCAGAGGAAGAGGGATGTAAAGTATGGGTAAGGTCTGCGTACACACCCTCCCCACACTCTACATTTTATGGGATTTTACTAGATTTCTTGTTTTGTTTTGTACGGAGTAAAATTTAAAATTTAAAAAAGCAGAACGAATTGCAACTACTTTTATGTAGCTCCAAAGCTCAATGGAGTAGTCATCATATAGATCATATGAAAGCAAAAAAAAACATTGGAAGGAGCAAAAAAAGAAAAAAGAAACCTTGAGTTATCTTCATGCTATCACCATGCATATTGGTGTTCAAAGAACCTCGGGCATTAGGCGGTTGAATTTGTTGGCGAAGAAGATGAGAAGCAGGGGCACAAACGTTACCTTTTTCCAGTGAGGACAGCTGTACATGAGGATATCCAAACATCAGTGGCATGTTTGCAGGTACAAGAGGGTGGCCCCCCGGATAACTTGGTACCCCAACTGTGTAACTAGGATTACTGCTATCTTTTAGAGGCAGAGAGTAAGGCATATTTGCAATGTTCGCTGGTTGAGAGAACGGAGGTCCATAAGACATATTCCGTTTTTGTCCTTGTAATCCTGTACTATCATTAGCATCCTTATTATTAACCTCATTTTGTCCATTACTTTCTGCTTCAGAATCAGCTACATCTTCATTGTCCCCAGTTGAGTCATCATCCGTGTTAATTGAAATGTGTGATGCCATCGTCTTGTCATGAGAATCTATATCATGTTTCCTTTTGTGACTATCGCAGGCATCTGTTGTCCTTCCTCCTACTTCGATGGACCTACTGCTACTTGCAGCCCATAATCCTCCATTATTTAACCTTTTAGTAGTGTCTGAATGGCCAGTGGGACTGGAAAGGCCACTAAAAAAATTCCCCTCATTTTTTGTAAGATCAGTTTTGTGCAAACCGGTAACAGAATCAACCTTTTTTGTACTTCCATCAAAAAAGTTCTTGAAATCACTGATTGAATTGCTATTTCTATCACTTTCTTCTGCCCTAACATTTGATGAGCTCCCGGTTTTACCTTTTTTTGACGCTGTCCCTCTACCACATGGTAGTCCCAAGCTCAGGTTGAGACCATTTTCATCCTCCATAATAAAGAAGAACCAGAAGTGTGTTATTCAACTCTTTCCATATACACAGTTTTGATAACTGATCATATGTATGGAGCAGTTCAAAATACTGATTTCGCAAGTTATCTGCGAAACAAAAACGTTAGACAAGGCTTGTGTTAGATAAAACTTCCAATCAGCAAAATGGTCAAGTAATAGACAATAAGTAAATTCAGGCAGGTTGATGGCAAAACGGTAAGTAACAAATGCAAACATTGAAAACTCCATAGTCCATAACTGGAATCTTTGAACTTGAATCAACTGTTAAATGTTTGTCAAAAAAGGCCGCAATGCCAAGCCAGATTACATTGGTGCTTGCCTGTCTTTGCGTCATTAAAAGTTGATTAATTACAACCGAGAGCATTACAAATGAGCATATTATAATGCATCCCTTCCCTAAATCAAATCTCAGTAACACTTGACTGATTCTTCTTCATCTATCATCGCCAAGGCATTTGGTGTCAATTAACAGTCGGTAATTAGGTAAAAATATAAATTAATTTAAAAAATCCTCTCTACTTTCATGTTGTAACCTTCTTATGAAGTATCATATCAAGCATGCCCTTTTTCAATGAAATTTAGTTAACACCCTAAATTCATGCAGTGATTGATACACATAGTTAAGCAATGAAATGATTTGGCATCCCCATTTCTACTTTAAAAACAAAAAACAGAGAATCACAGACAAATTAGGCTTGTAATTTCAACTACAACTCCTCCAGGATGGGTATTTAGAGAAGAGAGTGGGATGTACTCTACTAGTCCTAGTATTAAGTTCTCATTTTGACTTTTTTGGTTAATGTTTACTTAAAAAAAAGTAATTATAATGTGAACTTCGTACCATTATATTCATTTTGAAATATAATAATTTTAGAATAAGATAAGTTTATAATATAATACTCCGCAATATTTATTCAGATATATAATAATTATAGATATCAACACAAAGGATGGGAACTTAACTTTGGACAGAGGAAACATTATTTAACCCGCTAATTCAGTGAAGATAGACGTAAATCACGCTAAAACATCAAAAAGCACAGCCAAATAAACAAATTGTTCTTTTTTTTCATAGTCAAAATCAATTACCTGTCAACCCTAATTAATAATCAGCACAGTTAATCAGATTTATAAACCAAAAAAGGAAGTGAAATGAAAGCTCGCAAAACGCCAAAAAAAACGAATCTTGAGTGAACAGAGAAAAAGAATTATGCACAGATCTCCGTAAAGACCATCATTATATGATTATGAATCCCAAAAGGCAAATCCCAGAGTAGATTTAACAAAATCGGGGGAAATGAAATATGAATTCAAAATTAAAATGTTAATTTAAGCTAACTTTGCGGGCTTTAAGCTTTTTCTGGACAGAGGACGGGCATGTAAAGAGAGAGAGAGAGAAGGGGGGGCGGCGGGGATTGACCTGAAGGTGAGGGAGAAGATGAAACCTCGATGAAGCTGTGAGAGAAAATGCGAAGTCGCCGGCGCGGTGGAATTGTGAAAGATCGGAGATGGCCGGGTCTGGACAAATCGGTAAAATGGAGTTCCTTTTTATCAGATGAGAAAAAAAAATGTTTCCACCTCCCAAAACATGCATGACTTGACTTGAGAACTAGGTAAATTAGATTTTAACCGTATCATTCTACATTGTGTTAAAGAATAAAAATTGCACTGGTCATTATACAGATTATATGTTTAATATAATTGCATCTCAGGGCAATTATAAAAAATTGAATTCGAATATTATTCCTTTGATATTTCTTGTTACCAACATTTAATCGAATGAGAAAAGATTTACTGACTCGCAACCAAATTTGTTTGGAAAACTTTCAAAATTTGATCTGTTCATATTACTCTAATATAGGTAATGATTTAAGTTTGTCTAGTTTGATTCAAAAGAGTCAAATTAAACAAATAGAATGAGATGTCAAATTATAGGTTACATTTCTCTCATTCTCATAATCTTATTATTTTCATATTCATGTAATTTACAATTTTATATATTCTCTTAAGTCTCTATTAAATGTTAATTATATTTGGCGTTGTTCGTAGCCAAAAGGTTTTCACACGGATACCATTTTGACAATGGTGATGCATTGTCCAATAAACAATTTAATATTTACAAGTCTGGTATATGAGTATTTTTTAGCAAATGAGTTCAGATTCGGTCATAGAAGGCTTATAGCAGAAATATAAATAGAGATTTACATAAATACTTTTTTTTTCACCTGAAAAAGGTTGATTTTTTAAATTACAGAGTTACCAAATTCATTGGGACTATTAAGCTAGTAATTTAGCTAGTTCATCCACCCTGAGGCCTACATTTACATCGTCCTCTCCAATTGAAGCTTTCCTCTCACTTACCTTCTGAACAAAAGCTGCACTCTTCTCTATGAGTCCACTCAAGGGTCCTGTCCTTCTTCTTTCTGTAACCTCAAAACCAGTTTCTGCAGGTTTGCCGATTTGCTGTTCGGGCACTTTCTTGCGTTCATGTCTGAACACAGGACCTGGAGGTGCCGATTGGGCCAGAGAAACGGCCCTTTGGTATACAATGTCAGCATCCAAGCAAGAATCGTCTAACACAACCGCACTCCCACTTTCGATGGCTTGATTCAAGAGAAGCAAAACTCCCTCTGTCCAAGGGGTTTTCAAGCTCTCCCTCTTCTTGCTGTTGTCAAGATT